GTACAATTTAATAAATGTTACACTAATTAATAAGGCGCACCAATCAAATAAATAGCTCTTGGAAAATAACCCAAATATTGGAGATATAAATATTCCAACATTCTAAATGTAACGAATTACAAGGTCTCAGAATAATATTTAAACGAAAGAATTTTACATGACTCATATTGACAAGAAATTACTTGAAAATAATTCTACACAGAAGGTTCAATGATATTTAAAGAATATATTAATTAGTACAAATTAGGATTTCAATGAAGTCGGATAACTAGATGATAGAACCTTTAACATGTATAAATACGTTGTAAATTTCTCTTTCATGATAAAAGAAGTTCATCAGTTAATTCATTCTTAACTACTATCTTGTAATAACAATAATATCTTATTAATAAAATACAAACATAAATATCTCTTAAAATAATCCATTGCCAGTGGAATTATCCACCCGCTTCCTGAACCATATAAACCTTTAACTCTAACCTAATTATTAATTAATTACTATCTTACCAGGGGGATGCCTTTGATAAGTATAGTGTGTGTATTCTCTTTTAATCTTATTTTCTTTATTTTTATTTTAGATTAGGCCAACACCTAAACAAGTGGAAACCCTAGCTAGGTGTGGTCAGTAAAGAAACACTGAACCATAAAAACATAACACATTGGTATCCGGGAGGATACTGGGATTATTATCAGAAGAGATAATAATTGACACGTTCCGGCTCAGGCAGATAACAAAGAACTGCTGAGAAAACGTTACCGGAAAGGGAAGTAAGGAAACTTACCCTGTAAATAATTTAAATAGCTTGAGTGCTTTAGTGAAAGAAAGTAATCAAAGAATTACACAACTGGATACTGCCATAGGAAGGGATAAATAATATTATAATCAAATCTAATAGATTTGTGTGAGATGGAATTTTTGAGCTCACATTTTGGCAACGACAACAGGACCACAATCTTCAGGATAGTCTTCACACTACTTGGAATTGAGTATTGTGGTCACCAACCTAATTATAGGGCAGAAATAAAAACGTATATAAGTCAACACGGAGTATCCAGTGGAGGAGTATCAGACCCAAACAGGGGACTATAAATTATTTGAAGTATGGTTGCTTGCCAAAACTCCTCTGGAAATCAATCAGCAGAGTTTCAGCAGGTAACACACTAATTGTTTGTTAGAGTTTCACATTTAGGGATTTCGACAATTAGCAGAGTTTCAGCAGGTTACACACTAATTGTTTATTAGAGTTTCAGCAGAGTTTCAGCAGTCATTAAGAGGTTTTGGCAAGCAACCTTAATTTGAAGACACTGATTCAAACCCATCAGAAGTAACAGATTCTGAGCTTATTCAATTTAATCTTTTAGAAACTGACGTGGACTGTATGTCAGAGGAAGACACTGCAAACCAAGCAGTAGAGGAAGATTTAATAACTTTAGAGGAAGATAATAGTAAACAACTGGAGGTAACTCCTTATCTTATTTTTAGTGAATCTAGCTATACTTCTGGAGGAGGAAGTAGCAAAATAACCAAAGAGGAAGAACCAACAGGAAGCAATCAGGAGAAGGATATAAAGGATAAACAAGAAACCACAGAGGAGGAAAACAAAGATACAGACACAGACTCTACAGGTTCAGATCAAGAGGACAGTGACAAGACTAAGGTTGCTTGCCAAAACTCATCCAGAAATCAATCAGCAGGGTTTCAGCAGGTTACACATTAATTGTTTATTAG